TACTGAGAATAAACACCATGAAATAAATGTGGCCAAAACAGCAACATGCTTTATTAGTACCAACTGTGCCTAGATTGAAGACATGCCCCTGGCATGACTCAACTGAGAGGTTCTCCGCTGTATTTATAACAGCAGCGCGTTCCTGGGTTAACGTGTCCCTGCTGCGGCCCACAACATTGGGAGTTCGGAAAAAACGGTGACGTGAAGGAGTTATTGGGCAGGCCACTGGCACATATCACACAGATGCAGTGTGTGGCTCGGTGGCAACAAGTCAAGCCAAGCGCTCAGTGAAACCATCTGCCGCGAGAAGATTTAAGATGTATTTTTATCTAAATGCGTTTTTACTTTTTACACTCACAGTACAATCCAGTAGCAAGTCCTGCGTAACGACACATATCAATTTCTGACAAATCTGTCGCACTTTGACCTTTGACTTTTGCTCCCCCCACCACCACCACTCCAGAAAGAAAAAGTGAATGGCGTTGAGCCCTTGCTTACAACTCACTCATTCACGCTCTGAAATGTGCGGGGTTTAGTTTGGATTTTCCGGGCCACGTGTTTTCCTGGAATATAAATGCTCTCAGCTGGCACCTGCTCGCAAGTGCGGGGGCTAACGCTCGCACGTGAACGCCAAGGTGCGTGCCCTCAAGCGGCGTTTCTGAGTAAACGTCTCGCACACAAGTCCACGGTGTGGCAACATCGCGCCGTGGGTTTTATCCGTGCGGCAGGCGCAATGGCGGTTATGGTCGACACGAGGAGGACATGGGTAGGGACAATCAGGCCCGATCGCTCTCCCCACTGTCACCCAGCCCCCCCCCCCCCAGCCTTTTCAACTTCAGTGTGATTGTGGCCACATTGCTCAGTCATTCTTTGAATGGCAAACGTGTTGGAGGCAGCAAGATGCTGTCTTATGCTTCCATATTAAATCCCCTGGAGTACTAAATGTCAGGTACGACATGGGTTTAATGTGAAGATCAACGAAGCAGATATTGCCACTCAGCGCATAAGGAGAAGGGAAGACATGTACACATGGAACATAGATTGCTCATTTGTTGCAACTTTTCAAATTTAACGCCATGCCCCTTATGGAGATACAATTGGATTTTTTACATTTATATATAGTTATTAGCCATACACGTCACTTCATGTACTGATGCACATTACACTCAGAAATAAATGAATGTCAGAACATAATAAATGAACAGACAAGGGTCTGTTTCACACGAAAAAAATGCAATAATAAAACCAAATAATATTTCGGCCCACCAGCCTTGCAAATCGTTCTTGTTTTTCCAGCAGCACGTGTTTAAGCAGGCATATTCAGAACCAGTATCGACTTCTTTGAGTCTAATCAGCAGTGTTGCCTGTTAAACAAATCGCAGCCTGACGTTAGAGGCCCTCCACGACGAGCATATGGTCAGTGCACAAGAGACTGTGTGTGGCTCCTGGATGACCTAATGTGTATAGTCTGCGTGCAGACTCAAACAGTCATCCAAATATAAGGCAAACACACCATCACAAAAGCACATCTTACCAATTTCACAACCCCTACCACCCACCCCGCAACCCCACCCCCGCCTTTCCACCAACTAAACAAGCAGTATTTAATGCCCGTAAGCAATTTTGGGGACTCAAATAATGTTTTGTGTGTCCGTGCGGTTGAGCGGCACGTGCGCACACTCCTCTCGCGAAACCGCACACGGCCACATGCAGGCGAGAGGGCGGTGGGCGAGTAGGAGGGGGGGGGGGGGCAACAGAGGGGAATAAAGAGGAGCGAAGAGGAGGGAAACCACGGGGGAGGACTTGTGGCCCGCAGACGGCTGCCAAGCCAAGTCAGGCATACATGTGGCCAACCCAGGAACGTGGCGACGATTAGAAATATCTGCGCAATGTCTGAATATTTAAGTGCCGAAGCCGCAACCAGGTGTACAACCTCAGTGCCGGAGTTTCTCGCCCCGCCCCCAGGTCTCGGCTACAAGCACGTCTCCTCTGCCCCATCGCCGCCCCCCTCCGTTCCGTTAACCGGCCCTTCGGGGCAAATTCTTCCTTAATCGACTCCTGCTGGTCAAGCTAAGCCAGCCCTATGTGCACCATGGTCCATCGACCCTAAGTAAGAAATTAAAATTAAAACGGGAATTAAAGAAAAATCTAATCATCCAGCACTATGGGATGCCACGACTGCCCGGTGGTTAAAGCGGGCCCCATGAGTGGTGTCGGCTCATGACACAAGCAAGATAGCATTTATCATCTCGGCAAATCCAGGATTAAGAATGTCGAAGCATTTCTGAGATCTCTCACAAAGGGTTTTTTTCTCCACGCGGTGGGCATTTTAATTCGTCCACAATTAAACGCGCTCCTCTCTCGATTCGTGCACTCTCAGCTGAAGGGCACGCCATGTCCTGGGGAGTCTGCGAGTGCATGGAGGAGGAGGAGTCTCCGCCTCCTCGCCCGCGTCCGCGAGCAACCGTGAGCGAGGAGGGGCAAACGCGTGCGGTGAGCCCGCCGTGTTGAGCGTCCCCTTGCCTGTGGCAATGCCTCGAGTCAGCCCAGCAGGGGGGGCCCCGACAAGCACACGGGGGGGGGGGGGGGGTGCTCGATTCCAGCTGCCATGAACGCATCGCATGGGGTTCGAAGAACCAAGGCGCACACAGAGAGCAAAATTGGGAGAGAGTGGCCCATATGTTCCACCAATTATGGAAATAATTTTGCTCTAGGGCTACCGCTTGCCGCTGTGCCAGTGACAGAGGAATAAGGCCCAAGCTGTTGCAAAAATGAAAGATGTGGCGAAAGGTGAGCTGCATGGAGCTCCTGCCGACTTACGCTTGATATTGCCCAGACGCCCCGTGGAGAAAATCAGCACCCAATTCCTCAACCCTGTACCTACTACATCACATAATTGGTGAATAATTGCAGTCTAAGATATGCCCGGCGAGATACAGAAAGTAAAAAATATACACGGGGACAGGAGAGCGCTGTTATCAATTAACAGCATGATGCATACCTCCCCGATCCCTGTGATCTGTCTTGAGCCACAAAAGTAAATCCTTGACATTTGCAAAACAAAGCCTCTACAAATCCCCCTCTCGCCTCTCTCTCATCCATTCCTTGTATGCCTTGTGGGCAGAGGAGTCATCGTAATGCCTTTTCTTTTTTTGCCGTAGAGCCAATAGTAACTTTATCAGCTCTTCACCAGCAGCTCGGCTCAGGAGAAGGCCTATCTGCGTCGGCTTGGCCAGGAGTATCGTTGCACTTTGCGCGTGCCCCTATCTGCCAAATTGCCTCCTGCCAGGCAGTGATACAAGTCTGGAGCTCCCGAGGGACCGTCCTGTTGACACACAGTGGCACCAGCAGCTTCGCTGCCACTCACACTGAACAGCCGCACAACGAGACGCTCCCCAAGGAGAACAACAACCTTGGGAACAGCACAAACAAAAAACGGGGATGGATGAATGCACCTACTGCCAGTCGGGACAGATCGGGACCCACGAAATGGTTAGCTTTGAAAATGACATTAAGTGGAAATCAATGACTTAATTGTAGAAGATAGTTCTGACTCAGCCATAGTCTATCCACTGTTGGATGAAGGCCTCTGCACACCTTCACCACAACTCACTGTATAGCGATGCCATTCCACGAGTGCACGTGAGATGATCATCTCTGCGGTGGTCATCCTCTCGGCCGTGTCCACGCCTTCGGTCGCCACTTCGTGCCCAGCCTCGTCCATCGGCCGTCATGCTTTCTCGCGACGCGTCCTGCCCAATCCCACTTTTAATTTTCCCAACAGCCAATAACGATGCCCCTCATTTGAATTTGTTCCCTGATCCACGTGCTCCGCTCTCTGAATCTCAGTGTAAATCCACGCGTGCACATCGCCATGCTATCTACACCGCGCATATTTCAGCTTTATTTAAATGTTTAATCGTCAGTGTCCATGTTTCTGATCCATGTCAAAGCAGTTACTGTGCACTGATTGAAAACGTTTTTCTGCAGTCACATTGGTGTGTGCTGTCTTTCATGATCACTTTCAGTGTTGCAAGAGCACTCCATTGCTGCTTTCACTCACCACTTACATCATGCCATCCCAATCCATGAATGCCCTGTTACGCTTTCCAGTGCAGCCCCTCCAACAATGTTTTTTGGTTCAGTAAACATGTAATTAATGGCTTTTTTTATTTATCTTGAGCCCAAACCAGGCGGTCAGTCTTTTTAAGTGCTTTGTTAAGCCAGTATTTACTAAATATGAAGTAAAAATGTATACAATCTTTGTCAAAGGTGGCTGTCCTCTGGATATACTCACCCCCACCTTGAAAATGTGGAATTTACACGAATGGCTCAGGGATAGAAACAGTAGATGTGTAATACCCCTCTGTCCATTTGACGTGGAAACCACTTTCACTCTAGGGCTTTTTGTTACGGAAGATTGTAACACATACGCCGCATACTTAGTCATCTTCAATCAATGCCCCCAACAGTTGTGAAATTAAATTATCGCTTTACACGCAAAATTATTCCATCAGATCTCACAATCAACAATTGTATATCATCTCACGACAAAGATGTGCGGTGTGGGTGCGAAGCATAAAAAAGTACCGTTTTGATAGTGAACATCACAGACGCCCTCTTCAACGCATTGGTATCAATTTGAGACGACAGCACTGCATCATGGGAAGCGAATGGATAACATCAACTTGGAGTAGCAGAGGAAGGCCCATTGGTATGTGAAGGGCATCAGAGTGGGTAGGACAGTAGCTATGGGATACTGCCGATGTTCAGTCTTGTGGTGTGCTGCTCTCCCATGTGATTTCGGGTTGTACCACGTGCTGTTCGGCACAATGCCCTATACCGCACCCAACGTGCCGGGAGCCTCTTCAGGAACTCCACGTGGAGCAAAGCGTCGGACATCGCACGGCACATTTCGCGGCGCGACCCGAAACCGCACCGGGGAATGATGGTGCGAGGAGTTCGTCGGACGCGGACCGGCGACGCAGTGGCCCCGTTACCTTTCGAACTGGTCCCTGAGAGCACGGAGCTGGGTTCGGCACTGCGTGAGCTCGCGCGTCACTTCCTGCAGACGCTTCTCGCTCTCCAGCCGTAAGCGTCGCTCGCTCTCCAGGTCGCACATCAGGCGCTCACGCTGGACAGGGAGAAGGAACGGAAGAGGGGGGAGCGAGACGGAGAGAGGGAGGCGGAGGAGAGATTGGCACAGTGAGGGCGGCACAGACGGGGCATGCAGAAAGGCATTGCGATTAGACCCATGTCAAAGTTGTATTACGTCTGATAATGACCACCACCGTATACATAAATAAAACACATTATGCGTCATTATGAAGGCCCAGTGCATCACGTAAATTAAGTGACAAAAAAACATTTCCCTGCATTATAAAAAAATTCGACCGCCATCAAACTGGCATTCTAGGAAAACGTTTCACAGCAACATTTTATCAATCGGGCAAACTCTGGCTGGTTTCAACATTCCGAGTGTCATCAGTAGGGTCATGCCTGATAAAGAAATGCTGCCGAATCATGCGATGTTATTGGCAGAAACACTCCATGCAAGCTATGGACTATAAGATATTTGTACAAGTCCTCACACATGGGCGGCATTTGAAAGGCCACATAGTATTGTTATTTAACACAGCCACCATGTACATGGCAAGGTTCTTTGATTCCTGTACAACCCAGGTCTGCAAGAAATTAGCCTGGCCAGTGATTTTATTGACCAGCAGCAGGATATTAATCAGGCGCACGGACAAATGAGCCGTTCTTCTTTCACATCGTTAATGTCCACAGGATAAATGTTACTTTTGTTGCGCATCTCATTTAACAACCAGCGGCCGCGTACTGAACAATGACGTCTAGAAGTACACGGAGACAATCGGCTGAGTCACCATCTGCACAGCGACACACACAGCGACGCAGTCGTTGAGAGTCATGAGCCACAATAAAGCACGGTCCCCTCCCACTGCTATTCAACTTCTGAAATCTCATCAGGTGTTGGCTACGAGATGCCAAAGTTGCCTTCGAATGGCCACAATTGCAGCCCGGCGTGGGTACTAGAAGTCACAATGGAAGCAAGCTAAGCAGCCATACGGCGTTCACTAAAAACAATGAGTAAAATAGAGGAACAAATAATGAAAAGTTGTCATGACAAATATTCAGCATTTGGTGACGCAACGCTATGAGCTCACAAACAAAGGATGAACCTGGCAGTGACTTGTGTGGCGTGTGGGCTAAACACGCGAGGCTAAACACGGGAGTGCAGAGCCTATACATCACGCCACTCGATGTGCAGAAGCCAAGTCAAGGCACGGCCCTGCCAAACGAGCAGCTGCAAACACCACGCACGCCATGACCGGCTCGTTTGTGTTTACTGTCAGGCTGTGTTTGCGCCAGTCCCAAACAGGCAGGGCCTGCTGTGCGGTAATGAGCTGACGGCAAGAAGAAAAATAATAACACGCACGTGGAACTCACGTTGCAATTGAGTGCATTCTCGTAAAGTATACATTTTTTCCCCTGTTTTTTTTTCCTTCTAACTGTGGCCATGCCCAAAATGATCACGGCATCGAGCCGCTGCAAAACGTGGCACGACTGCAGAGATCCAATGATACTAAATTGTCAACTTTCTGCTCCACGGCAACATCATGAGCAAGGTAAATTTTTTAGAGGCCAGGGGATGGCCCCAGCAGACCAACAGAATAGACAAGAGGTCTTAATCTGGCACAAGATGCCACCAAAAAACATTGCAAGATATTCCAGGACCATGCTTCGAGAGGAGATGCAAGAAGATGTGAAAAGTTATTTGGATCTGTCTGTGGGTGGAATAATCTCACAATGGGGATGCATTATCCTTGTTGGCCAAGGGAACGACAACAACACAGTTACTGCTCATGATTGACATGGGAAGCCATTATTACAGCAGTCTCCATGTGAGAATCTCAAACATATCCAGAAGCTCCGCTTTGCTGAGATAAAACAAAAGCAAAACGGCCATAAAGTGGTCACAAAATTAGTGAATCGAGGGAAATAAATCTGACAAAACAATGAAAATTTATTGGAATTCTACATATGTATTCCCTCACTAACTTCAAATCGTCAAAGGCAGCAAAAAATGGGCTACAGATAGTTAAACATGAAAACGTAAATCTTGACAGAAAACGTTGCCATTCTGCCGATTGCAAAAACACAAACCATAACCGCGTCAATTGTTCCTTTGTTGCTCATTGGTACGAACCCCACAGTAAACGCGTGGATCGCCGCGAGCCCCAAAAATGACAAAGCAAGTCCAGAGGGAGCAACACATCAACCCTCTTTTTCGATGTTATACCACAGTCCAACACTGACAATGCAACTACCAGTTGTATCTCGGTATGTGTGTGTGTTGAACTTCTTTCGCACCGTACGTAGACAACCGTGCTAATCGGAGGAGACCATGTACGTCCCTGCAATTCGCAATGTTCACATGGCATACAACGTCCACTGAAGTGCCACTTTAATGGCTGATGTTTCAGGCCATTTCCCTTCTTCAGACGATAAAGAGACCGCGTGGGAAGATTGACTGACTTTACAGCTGGAGGTCAGAGTTTACATCGGAGGAGCCTGAGTGTAGAACAATCTCAAACTTCAATCTCTCTGCCCTTTTCCACTCTACTCTGAAAAAAAGGAATATTGCCTGAAATGTCAACCGACTATAGATGTTGTTTTGTTGTCAGGCGGCGTTAATGATTTAACATGGCGATGCTTTAGTTTCTCCCTCTGCATATGCGACACTGCCAAGTTAGTCCCCTATTTTTTTTCTCGCATCACCTTATTGACATTATTACGAATGGCGGATGATGTCACCGACAGTTACCACTGCTAAACTCGAGAGAACACTGATCCTACATGAGCTCACCGGGTGTAATTTACCCGGCTGAGCATTCCTTGTCGCATGTTATTTCAGGCGGATATCAAGTGCTATGTTAATCAGATAAATGTTTTTTAAACCCGATAGTGTGGGCCCAAGGACACTTGATAATTATAATAGCTACAAATGTGGAGCAACATACATTTAATCCTAACCGCTGAAAGTGGGTCAACTGAAAACAAGGAAACACATCACTGTGCATTAGGTTAAACACAGCACTAAGCTACTGGCAACCAACACTCACTGCTAATTCCAGACTTTGCCTAACAGCAATTCACAAATAGCCAGCAGATGAACACAAAATATCAACACTTTAATAGCTGCAGGTGCGGGGCAATAATCATAAATGTCCACCCACCATACTGGTACTTCACTTATGAGTAATGGACCTGATTTGCACAGCACCTGCAAGGCTGATTTAATAAAGAGTGCCAGTGGCCGGGTTAAGGAGCGCCACACACGGGGTTATGCGCTGTGCGCGAGAGACGCAGCCTCCCGTCCAGCGTGTCTGGCCGAGGGATGATGTCCCAACAGCACGACCAGGAGTCTGTCTCTCCTGCCACTCCCCGGCTTGCCACAGCCTCGCCTGCCCACGACCGACCAGCGGGGCATGAGGGGGCATGCCCTTCTTAGTACATGGCTGGTTGTCTTTTAATTGCGGTGGAATGTTAATCTCTCGCTCAACATCAGCTCAACATCCCGTGTGTGTATAGATGTGTAGGTGTGCGTGTGGGGAGCTGTAGTGTAGCGGTTAGCAGCGCTGCGTTACGAATCCGACGATCCCTGTTCGATTCTCGACAGCGCCAGTGACGATTATCTGAACCGGGCTTGGGCCTCCCCTCGGTCGACTCAGCCTCAAATGAGTACCTGGTGCGATGTGTAAACATCGCCACGAAGGAGACAAATGCGATTGGGCGTGGTGCTGGCAACCCACCCCCTCGTGTACCGTGTTCGACTTCATAGGTGTTCGCTAACCAGCCCACGATACTTCCATTCCATCAGTCCCAGCTCCATTCCTGCCACGGGTCGACTTCGTCTCAAATGAGTACCTGGTGTGGTGGCGTATGCACATCTATTGTAGAGACATTAAGGTGGCAGTGCATATTACACCAGGAGCGCATACTACGGCTACCGTGCCGTGCTTAATGAGTATTCCATAACAGCACTGACTCTCAAATCCAATTGTGCAAAAAGCGGTTTCTTTGTGCAACTCCTTGCACCTTGAAAAAAACAACCGCTGAAATTACAGGCAAAACTATGATATATAATTTTTGTATTCACTTTATTTTTATTACTTTACTGTTCTAACTACGCGACTTTACCGAAAGACCCAAAGAATATGATATATATTCAGCCGTATGGTAAAATGGTTAAAGTTGCATTTTAACTCAATGCTGTCTGCGCTTGGTATATTGGGCTACAAAGTGGTTGTCTACTTTTAATCGATGTGACGTGTCTCAGTCCTTAAAAGTATAAAACAAACAAAAATAACTAAAGTTGGGACAAACAACTTTGGCAATAGTGGCAGCAAGCAGGGCAACAGTCCCGCATCATTGTCTTTATTTGTTCAGTGCCTTCAACAAACTTCCCTTATCATTAACGGCAGCTGTTATGAATTTTCTCTCCCCGAAAGTGAGTTTGGCAGACGGTAGTAATTTTAAATTGTATTTTTTTTCATAGAGCTGACAAGTTGAAACCCATTTTTTTTCAACTCCACCATTCCAAATCACCCCCTCCACGCTCCCATACGCACAGCAATGCACACAAAGCAGCCGGAGTTTGGCAAAGCGGCAGCAAAGCGGCAGTACCGTGTGTCCGAAGCATGTGGGCACACACGCGCATGGCTTATTTACCACATTCAAACAGCTGATTAAAGGGCCTGTGTGTGTGTGAATTTGTTCTCTGGGCTAAATGCAATCATCATCAGCAGCCTAATGAGTCAGCACAGCACAAATTAGAGGCTCGCACAAACCAGACGACTGCCCATCATCAGACACGTGTTTCTGTAGAGCCGAGAACATGTTTAGTGTTGTATAAATGCATCGTCTCTAGCGTTTACCTGCTGCATTTGCTCTGCATGCCAGCATCGAAGCTTTGCAAGCTCAGCAGCAAACAACGGCACGGGGATTCTCTCGCAAGAATATAAAACGCAGCCACCTCCAACACTGTGATAACAAAAGCCCACTCTCTCTCTTTCATTGTGTACATAATGCAACTTGTTTTTGAGGGCA